TGGGCCCTGCCAGTCAGCCCCCAGCCAGTTCTGCTACTCAATTCACAGCAAGTTCTGCCCTTCAGCTCACCATCGGCCCTGCCAGTCAGCTCACTGCCAGTTATGCACATCTGCTCTTTGCCTGTTGTTTCTCAGGCTCTCAGTAGTCCAGCCTTGCCGGTTCAGACTCAGGTCAACCCAGTCCCACCCCCATCCTAAACCCACCAGTTGGTCAACCCATCTAAGCTCGAGATGGCAGTCCAGTGCCGTGGCCATCCTTCCAAACGACCGCCTCTTCAGCTTCCTGTCCGGCACTGTGGCTGTCCTTCCAACTGGCTGCCTCTTCAGCTTCCTGTCTGGTGCTGTGGACGTCCCCCCGAACAGCCGCCTTTACAGTGCTGTGGCCGCCTCTCCAGACAGCTTTCTCAGTGGTCCTGTGGTCGTCCTCTGCAGCAGTGTCCCCTGCAGTCTCCTTCCTGCTCCTACAGTTGCTCCCTGACAATTCTCTGACCTTTTTCCCGACCTGCCACCCAAATCTTCTGCCTGGATTACCCCCACTTTCCTGTACGACATACTCAACTCACCTCCACATCTGCTACCAAACCAGCATCCTTCTTGTCTTCCTGTGAGTAGCCTCTCTCAACTTCCTTGTGTAGCGAACTCACCTCCATTTCTGCTGCCAAGCCAGTGTTCTCCTCACCCCTCCAGCCATTACTTGCTCTGCCTCTGACTTGCCTTTCCAGCCAGTACCTGCTCTGTTGCTGCCTTGCTTCCCCAGTCAGGGTGCCGCTGCTTCATCTCTCCTGCACCCAGTACATGTCTTCTTTGTTCAATAAACTCTTTTAGTGTTCCACTTTCGGTGTGCATATGAGTACACTGAGTCCAGCAGTACCCCGACGTGACACTCCTGTCCGCTCAGGGATGAATCCATGGGGTTTCTGTTGTACTTTGCTCCTTGGCTTATGATTTTTTCATATGTAGTATGCAGTATATTCCCATAAACCCCCACTCCCTGCTGCACTATACTGTATACTGTGGTTTAGTGGGTAAAGCAGTCGTCTCCCAATCGGAGGGTCAGACGTTCGAATCTCAGTGCCTGCAGTCCACATGTTGATGTGTCCTTGGGCAAGACACTGAACCCCCAAGTTGCCCCGATGGTTAGAGCCATCGTTTGAGTTGGCGCCGCAGATGGCTGCTACCATTCTGTACTGGAAACAAATTCCTTGTATGTAACATACTTGGCCAAATAAAGGTGATTAAAAAGACTAAAAAATACAGATAACCCCACACCTCACAATCAGAAATATTGAAAAATGCAAATGAAGCTGTGAATATCTGAAACTAATTGTAAAAATTTATACAGCCCTAGCTGTTTCGTTTATTACATGTAATTCATGGTCTTATAATTATATAGCACCTTTCTATGCACTGCAGCACACTCAAAGCGCTTTTACACTATTTGGCCATTCACACACACCGGTGTTATCACCAGGAGCAAATGGGGGGGGGACTTGTGCTCAAGGACACTTGTCCACATGGACTGGACAAGCCAGTAATCGAACCACTAATCTTTCACTTAGGAGACAACATGCTCTACCTCCTGAGCCACAGCTGCCCCGTATGGTATTTATGCCACATATGGTAGTTGAATGGAACATGGACAAGTAAGAAAAGGGGAGGGCATGTGACCCATGATGTTCTGAGCACAAGGTATGTACCTACAAAGCCAGCAACAAGCCTCTTATTGCTTGCTCCTTCATGACAGAACCATTCATAATTCATCATATAACCTTATATAACCCATATATAACTGGCTAAATGATACTACCCGTGCCTTAAGGAGATGCTGCAGGCGAGCCGAGCATAAATGGAAGAAGGATGGACTGCATGTCTCCTTGGCCATCTTAGGGGACAGTCTTGCTGCTTATCAAAAAGCCATAAAAGAAGCTAAAGATCAATATTCATCCAATATCATTTCTAACAATAGCCACCATCCTAGAGTTTTTTTTAGCACCATAAATTCTGTTATTAATCCTGTCACCACTGTGTTCAATGAGGTGTCTGTGCATACCTGCAATGTGTTTCAACAGTACTTCATTGATAAAGTTCTGTCTATCAGGCAAAGTATCTCCACATCCTCAACTGTGGCTCCAACTGGGTCTCCTGTACAGTTTTCCTTGGAAAGTTTTACACCTAAGCTTTACGCCAATTTCCTTATTGCAACTCAAAAAATCAGTGCAACAGCTAAATTCCACCTATTGCCCTCTGGATATTGTCCCTGCTAGGATAATGAAGGAGGTCATTGACACTATTGGGCCTTGCCTGGTCACATTTATTAACAGCTGCCTCAGGCTGGGTATCATCCCCACTGCCCTCAAGCATGCTGTAGTCAGGCCACTTCTAAAGAAGCCTAAACTCGATCCCATACTTCAAATTTTCACCCAATCTCACATTTGCCTTTTTTGTCCAAGGTTATGGAGAAAATTGTCCTCACACAACTACAGTCTCATCTTGAACTTTATGCTGTTGCTGATAAATTTCAATCAGGCTTTAAATCCCGGCACAGCACTGAATCCGCGATACTGAAGGTGCACAATGATATTCTTATATCCTTTGATGCAAAGAATACTGTTGTTTTAGTGCTTTTAGATCTCACAACAGCCTTTGACACCGTGGACCATACAGTCCTCATATCCTGCCTTGAACATTGCATCAGCTTGCGTGGTGCTGTGCTTGAGTGGTTTACTTATTTTCTGACCAATAGGTTGTTTTCAGTTATGATTAATGATTCTACCTCTCTCTTCGGGTGTTCCCCAAGGTTCAGTCCTGGCACCTATTCTTTTCTCATTATACATGTTACCATTAGGCGCAATTATTTTTTCACTTAAATGAGGGGAAGACTGAATATATCGCTTTTAGCCCAGACCCCACCCACACTGTATCTGGCCTAGGAGCTTCAGCCCCGTTATTCACTCAAACAGTGAAAAACCTGGGAGTGTTATTTGATAGCAGCCTCAAATTAGTTCGGTGATCAAAATAAGCTTCTTTCAGCTGAGGCTCCTAGCAAAGGTGAAACCTTTTTTATCTCGAGCCAACCTAGAAAACGCCTTTCATGCCTTCATTAGCTCATGACTTGACTACTGCAATGCCCTTTATACTGGAATTAGTCAGTCTCAACTCCATAGTCTCCATCTCGTACAGAATGCGACTGCTCGCCTACTGTCAAACACTCCAAAGAATGCTCACATCACCCTGGTTTTTCAGTCTTAACCATTTATACCCCAGTCAGAGCGCTGCGTTCCTCTGAGCATGTGTCTCTGGTTGTCCTGCAGGCAAGGTATAAAAAGTGGGAAGATTGTTCTTTCGCCGTGTATGCCCCCAAGCTCTGGAATGCCCTGCCCCCTGAGGTTTGATCTATAACAGAGTTAATGGTTTTTAAGTCTAAATTAAAGGCACATTTATTGAGATTGGCTTTTGGCATCTAATATTTAGCAGCGATGCTATACAGGGCCTACAGGCCTTCCTGATTTTATATTTCATAATCTTACTCTCTCTGTATTTTGACTCATTTTTATT